CCGGCCCAGGCTCCGGCTCCGGCTCCGGTTCCGACGGGCGTCCCGGGTCTCTGGGGGCCCCAGGCGCGGGCCCCACCTCTGCCGTGGGCCCTGGCCCCCGCCGGCGGCCCGTCACACCTGCTGCCAAGCGCCACCGCTGCCCATTCCCGGGCTGCACCAAAGCCTACTACAAGTCGTCGCACCTCAAGTCCCACCAGCGCACGCACACAGGTGAGCGCCCTTTCTCCTGCGACTGGCTCGACTGCGACAAGAAGTTCACGCGCTCCGACGAGCTGGCCCGCCACTACAGGACGCACACGGGAGAGAAGCGCTTCTCCTGCCCGCTCTGCCCCAAACAGTTCTCCCGCAGCGACCACCTGACCAAGCACGCCCGCCGCCACCCAGCCTACCATCCCGACATGATTGAGTACCGGGGGCGTCGTCGCACCCCCCGCGTCGTCGAATCCCAACCCGCGAGCTTAGTGGACGGCGCTGGCTCCGGCCAGGTGGCCAGCCTCACCACCTGCCTGTAGGACTGTCATTGCTGCTAGTCGTCCCCTCAAGGACGGATCCCCCCCCCCACGCTGTTGCCCCTGCTTTCTCACTGTGCGTCCCTCTTTCCCAGTGTCACTAGACCAAGGCACAGACTGGTTCATCCGCTCTGAGGGTGGGTCCTGACAAGCACGTTGGACTCTGGGAAGGGACTTGGGGGCGAGAAAACAGCAGGGATTCTTGCACATACACCTCATCCCCAAAGTGGGGGTTGCCACAAGACAGCCCCCAGGAACTGGTGAGGAGGGATGAATCTGGTGCTCTCCAGCGTCCTGAAGATGTGAAACTGGAATTCTCAGGTGCCTGGGACTGCCCAGTCTCGAAGGACTCTGGTGGCTCACCCACCCACCAGGGCGGACCTTGGAGAGGGTATCAGGGGTGGCAGTCTTGGAAATGTCCAGGACTGGAATGATGAGAGGCCTTTGGAAACAGAAATGATTTCTATTTCTGTAAACAGCAATGTTTACTAATTTCTTTTTAGTCACTTTTAAACAGGGATCCCAGGTTGACGGGAGGCTGATATTCCCCCACTCCCGTTCACCTCAGCTTCCTCTGCTAGGAGAGACCATGTAAGCGTCCCTGTGGATGTATGGCTGGGAGATGCTTCTTGGTGTCTGGGAGCTGTGTGAATCTGTTGCAGGTCCTGATGCATGAGATGGACACTTGCACTTGCGTCGCAGTCCTTCTCCCTACTTGAGGGTGGTAGACTCCCGCACAACTACACCATGAGATTGATTCGATTTCAAAACAAGCGTAAAAGCACCAGAAAGAAAACGATGATCTAAACTAGGCCCCTTTCACCCAGAGGGCAGACCCAAGCAACTTTAAGGTGGAATGACTTTGGGGTGGGATGGACCCAACACAAGATAGCTCTCAGGGGAACAGTGGTGGAAGCTGTGCCAACCCAAGTAGTCTCAAAAGTGGTAGATGCCATTAATTTCTTAGTGACTAACTAGGGATTTATTTATTTCCCTTGGGGTCTGTACATTTTGTTTCTGACTTGATGAATGCGGAAAGGGAATATGAGAAACTGACTTCTTCCAAAGAGCAGGCTGCCCTGGATGGGGGAAGGAGCAGCAAGATGATTGTTGTTGTTGGGTGCCACCAAGTCCATTCCCACTCATAGTGACTCCATGCACAACAGAAAGAAACCACCCAGTTCTGTGCCATCCTGACAACCGTTGTTATGTTTGTGCCAATTGTTGCAGCTGCTGTGTCAATCTATCCCATGAAGGGTCTTCCTCTTTTTCAATGACCCTCTACCAGCATGATGTCCTTCTCTAGTAACTGGTCCCTCCTGATAACATGTCCAAAATGTGTGAGACAAAGTCTCACCATCCTTGCTTCTAAGGGACATTCGGGCTGTACTTCTTCTGAGATAGATTTGTTTGTTCCTCTGGCAGTCCATGGTATATTCAATATTCTTCACCGACACCATAATTCAAATGCATCAGTTCTTCTTAACCAAAAACGAAACCAAACTCACTGCCATCGAGTCGGATCCGACTCATAGCAACCCCTCTCCTTGGGTTTCCGAGGCAGTATCACTATGGAGGTAAATTGCCCAACCTTCCTTCTGAGGAGTGGCTGGTGGATTTGAACTGCCAGCCTTCTGGTTAGTAGTCAAATGCCTCAGGCATTACACCACCAGTGTTCCTTATTCATTGTCCAGTTTTTGCATGCATATGAGGTGATTGAAAATACCATGCCTTGGGTTAGGCACACTTTAGTCCTCAAAGTGACAATTTTGCTTTTAAATACTTTAAAGAGATCTTTTGCAGCAGATTGGCCCAGTGCAATACATCCCTTGTTTTCTCAACTGCTGCTTTTGTGGGTGTTTGTTGTGGATCCAAGTAAAATGAAATCCTTGACAACTTCAATCTTTTCTCCATTTATCATGATATTGCTTATTGGTTGAATTGTGAGGATTTTTGTTTCCTTTATGTTGAGATGTAATCCATACTAAAGGCTGTAGTCTTTGATCTTCATCAGTAAATGCTTTTTTACTTTCAGCAAGCAAGTTTGTGTCATTTGCATATCACAGGCTGTTGATGAGTTTTCCTCCAATCCTAACGCTGCCTTCTTCTTCAGATAGTCCAGTTTGTTGGATTATTTGTTCAGCATACATATTGAATAAGTATGGTGAAATGATGCAACCCTGACACAAACCTTTCCTAATTTTAAACCATGCAGTATCCCCTTATTCTGTTCTAACCACTGCTTCCTGGTCTATGTACAGGTTCCTCATGAGCACAATTAAGTGTTCTGGAATTCCCATTCTTTGCAATGTTATCCATAATTTGTTATGATCCAAAAAGTTGAATGTCTTTGCATAGTCAATAAAACACAGCTAAACATCTTTCTGGTATTCTTTGCTTTCAGCCAAGATCCATCTGACATCAATGATACCCTCATTCCATGTTCTCTTCTGAATCCTGCTTGAATGTCTCACAGATGCCTATCAATGTACTGCTCCAACTGTTTTTTAAATTATCTTCAGCAAAATTTCACTTGCAAGTTCTATTAATGATATTGTTAAATAATTTCCACATTCTGTTAGATCACCTTTCTTTGGAATGGGTACATACATATATGGATCCCTTCCAGTCGGTTGGCCAGGTAGCTGTCTTACAGATTTCTTGGCATAGATGAGTGAGCGCTTGTAGTGTTGCATTTGTTTGTTGAAACATCTCAATTCCTGCAACTTTCTTTTTTTAAAAAAATCGCCAATGCCTTCGGTGCAGGTTGGACTTTTTCCTCAAATACCATTGGTTCTTGATCATACACTACCTCCTAAAATGGTTGAACATCAACCAATTCTTTTTATTATTGTGACTCTGTGTATTCCTTCCATCTTCTTTAGATGGTTCCTTTGTTATTCAATATTTTGCCATAGACTCTTTCAATATTGAAACTTGAGGCTTGCATTTTTCTTCGGTTCTTTTGGTTTGAGAAATGCAAAGTGTGTTCTTCTCTTTTGGTTTTCTACCTGCATGTCTTTCCACATTTCATTATAATGCTTTACTTTGTCTTCTTGAGCTACCCTTTGAAATCTTCTGTTTGGCTCTTTTACTTCATCATTTCTTCCATTCACTTTAGCTACTCTTATATTCAAGAGTAAGTTTGAGTCTCCTCTGTCATCCACTTTGGTCTTTCTTTCATTCCTGTCTTTTAACTAATTTTTTTTTTTTTTTGCTTTCTTCATGTATAATGTCCTTGATGCCATCCTACAACTTGCCTACAACTCATTAGAGTTCAATGTTCAGTGTTAAATCTGTTCTTGAGATGGTGTCTAAATTCAGGTGGGATACGCTCAAGGTCATACTTTGACTCTCATGGACTTGTTTTAATTTTCTTCCCCTTCAACTTAAATCTTCTGCAGTCGACCCTACCCTTGTTCTGACTGATGATATCAAGCTTCTCCATCACCTCTTTCCACCAATGTAGCCGATTTGATTGCTATGTATTCCATCTTGCAAGGTCTATGTTTATAGTCACCCTTTATGTTGTTGAAAGGTGATAGCTGTTATCAAACAGGAAGACCCTTCTCCTCTGACCTTGAAATCCCTCCAAGTTCCACCTTCAGAAGCCACCTCTTTCCATGCAGGAATTGAGCATCACCAGCATTAGTTTTTCCTATCTGTGTCTCTGCAGCTACAAATGAAATCATCGACCACTGTGTTTGTGTATGTGTGAATGTGAATACCTGTGACCTTTTGATAAATGATGAGGTTAAAAAACATCTTGCTTTGGTAAGATTCCCTTTGGCCACCTCCTGAATAACCTGTGATAGTCCATCAATCATCAGCCACACTTGTGAAGAATTCCCTAATGTCATAGGACCATACCAGGCATCTGGGTAAACAAACTGCCTTCCCCATTATTTCAGATGAAAACACTGAAGCCTAGACAAATTCAAAGTAATATTGAATTGCTGACAAGAGCCATGACTAGCATTCACGTGTCTGGCATCCAGAATGACTCTCTGCTTCACACTTGGTTACACCATCTCCTTTCTCTGAGCACTTAGTCAAAGGACACCACATGACCTTCCTGCCTGTGGGACCCTTTTCCCTGCTCCCTGTTTCCTATCACTTCTATGTACCTTCAAACCGCTGGTCCCCACTGAGTCCTTTAACTGCTTTGTTTAACCCCAAAGCCCTTTTTCTTAACAGGTTCAGTCCATTCCCTCCCTACACATCATGTGGACTTGAAGTGGGACTGTTTGGAATCCTGGAAGAGACTTTATCTTTTGACCTGGCAGATTAATATTCCTTTATTCTTTTTTTGGCACTGGACATTCCAGCACTCTTCAGAGAGGGAGTGATGTAAACCTGACATTGGGACGTCAGTAAAGTGCTCCCACACTAAGTGAGGAAGGGTCCTTGGAAAGAACCCAAAAGGTATGGGCTGTGACCCTGAAGAGTTTCCTAATATGGGGTAAGCAGGGCAGGTGGGCTGCTCCTTGAGTCATAAATGGGAAAATGAGGCCCCTACTTGTGGAGATGCTTTTTGATGTCAGATAGAGTCCTCCCTTGGAACTATTTGGCTCCTTACTATGAGCCCCTTTGTCTCAGAGATCCAGTAGAAAGATCCAACAGAAAGATCCAGCATTGGGTCAGTGGACCAATGAAGCTAACAGGAGAGGAAATACCACCAGTCCTTCTAGAATTAGGCTCAAGAAAGCTTGGCTTTTCCAACCACCCTTGATAAATCACTGTTGATCCTCTAGTTCCCAAATAGCATCCTTACTTAGCTTCTTTGACCTGGAAGAGCTTTGTCTGATTAAATGTGGCATGTCTTTCTCTGGCAGAGAATTGAATCCTCTCAGATCTTGGGGTGGCAGGAGGGAGACACCCAGGACAATAGAGTAGCCAGATAATAGAGGCGAGATTGGTAGACTGGCCTTTCTTAATCTGGGTATTATTACCTTTTCACTCCAGCAGTCAGATGGCTCTTGAGGAGGAGTTATTAGTGAAATGCCTTGGAAGGGGCTTCC